GTACTTTCCCCCTGGGCCAGACGCCGCCGCCAAGGGGCCCAGCGAGAAACTGAGCGGGGGGCCAAAGGGTCCATCTACCCAAACAGATCGCAGTAGGAAAGACAAACAAACCGCTGGGGGTGGGAGGCAATTTACATAACAGTCTGCCGCTGCTTTGGTCTAGGGAACCTTGAACTGTCTGTGCGAAGAGAAGGGCGACTCTGCGGTGGGACCGGCCCCGCAGGGCCTCTGTGGTCCCGGGGGCGCTGGAGGGGACCCGAGGCGGGCGGAGGGAGGCGCTACTCCGGTCTGCGGAGCCGGAGAAGGGCTATTTCGTGGCAATATCGCAGGGGACATGGGGCTAGAGCCCTGTGAGGGACTGAGTTCTCAACATTTCTTGAGGTAGGACATTGCTCCGAAAAGAGATAATTATATAATTGCTAAAGATATTTATATAATTGATAAAGGCTGTGTGGTTCCAGCTGTCTCTGCTTGCTAAGTTTCAAGGTTCTTGAGGAGCCATAGAGTTTTGTGCAGCGGCCACATAAATTCAGGATACAAATAACACACTTGCTCAAGGTGAGATGAGGTTGGAACATCCGTGAGGGTACCGCGGTTAGGACACACTTTTTCTTCTCAGATGCTCATGATCCCAACGTTAGAATGTGTTCTGTTAAGATTTACATTCCAAGGCCTAGTTGGGATTTTACTTTGGGGGTTAGAAACGAAATGGGGGAAAGGGCAGAAAGTACACTGAAATGATTTTCTCTTTCATCTAGAAAGCCTTCCTTGTCTGATTATCTTGGGCTGTCAATATTTAAAAGTGAGGCACTGGAAAGTGGATTGTGTATGGGTAGTTTGTCAACAAATAGATTTCTTGTCCCTAGAGAGTGTGACCTGTCCTTTTCTTGGAGAATGCCCAGATGTCAGTATTTGGATTTCTTTTCTCAGGAATCACATGGTTTCTTCAGAGAATAATCTTCTGATTGACTCTGTGTGTGGGCGTGGGCGTGGACGTGGGCGTGTGTTGGAGGAGGGAGTATCCTTTGGATCCTGATTTAATGAGGCCAAGATGCGGGAGTAGGGGTGGCATTCCTATAGCAATGGATATAGATTTTCACATAGTAATTCCCTTGTTTGATGCTATACACCCCAACCTTCATCTGTGCCTTTCTCTGACTTTGAGACTTTGCTTTAATTTACCTAGGGAAAAAAAACTTTCCAAAATAAATACAAAAATTAAAGAAAATAAACTTTACATCTGTAAGATGGGGAAGGAAGAGTCATCTAGAGTCCCAGGGTGGGTTAAGGATCTTGGATATCCAACAGCTCCGAACACAGACTTTAATGAATCCCAGGTTTCCACCGTTCCCCCTTCCTTGGAGACTGCTGCCTGCAAAAATTGAGCCTCACGGGTTCTATATCAAGTGGGTTTGTTTAGTATGCCCCATTACAGACATTTACTATGTAACTTTCTCTGATCTCTGAATTAATTTATCATATATTCATCTGCCTTGGCCTTCTGAAAACGGTTTGACATCTATCATTTAATGGTGTCTCATCTCTTATTCTCATAACCTTGGGGATTAGTTATTTTGGCAGGATTTTTTTTATAGAGAAGAGATATGTGAGAACAATCTGCCATTTTAGACTAAAAATATTTTTAAATCCTTCATGTGATATTTAAGAAATGTTTTAATGTTTTGATATGACCCTCAGGAAAGACAGGGAGAAAAAAGTATATTTTAATAATTATTGTGGAGGCCCTATCAAATGATCTAGAAGTGCATTCAATATTTTAGTAATGGCCACTGATTTTCAATTAATTGCACCTGGTTCATTGTTTTTAATTGCGTTTTTACAAACACAAGAGATGCAGGCTACTGTAGTAAATCCTCAACTGCTTTTGCATTAAATTCATGTATGTTTTGGAGAAACCAAATTAGTAAAGGCCAGGCATCACAGGGGCATTAATAAGGAAATGGCCTGTATCTTCATTGAATTGTCAGATATAGCCGCTGCACAAATAATAGAGATGGAGATTAAGTTCCACTAAACAGCTGGACTTGGAGAGAACAGGCCCCAGCATATATTAAACATTGCCCAAGACAAAAAGCCATCTTGAAAGCTATTTTTTCCTGATTCTAACTAACCAAAATGATGATGCTCCTGTTTCAAATTTAAGCACATGTCCTTCCATGCATAGAAACCAGAAAATAATGGGAAAGAAACTCCCAACCTTTCAGTAAAGATTCTTGACAAGGTGAGAACATCCAAATCACATGCTCCCTAGCAATTAGACTGAATGGCCAGATAGGATTACCAGAGGTTTGAGCTGAAGCCTGAAAGACAAAAAGCTGGCCATGAAAATATCTGGAGACTGTTCCAGGAAAGGGGAACTATAAATGCTAAATGAAGCTCTGTGGTCAGATATTTGAAGTGCAGAAAGTAGGCCTGTATGGCTGCTAAGTGGTGAGCGATCTTTCTGGTCTATGTTTTCACAGAGAATTCTTACTGCAAAATAAAACAAAAACCAGAGTTTAAGATACAGTCCTTGAGACACATGAATTGTTATAATTTAACTAAATTTTTCATCTCAAACATTTGCTCTCTAGATTTGATATATTAGGCTTTATGACATTTAAAATGGAATACTGGTCCCATTTACCTAATCTATAGATATGATACAAACAGAGGCCATATTGACATGAATGTTTATTGCAGCATTCTGTGTAACTGCAAATTTAAAGTGAAACAACCTAAATGACCAGCAATAGGGGAATGGATAAAATTAAGAAGATATCTATATCATAAAAAAAAAAGCAGGTCTATACAAGCTAATAAGGAGGGATGCTCATATTGTATTTTTGAGTGAGAAAAGTTTTAGAATCATGTCTCTAAATCATATTTTTCTTTTGCTTTATAGAACTACATATATGTATACAATTAATTGCATACCAAATAAAGACCTGGAATGATACATATCAAAAATGTTGTTTACCCTAGAAAGTTGGGGTGAAAGGGACTTTTTAGTTTTGTAAAATTTCTGCATTGTTTGAATGTTTTCAGTGAGTCATGTTTTATTTCTGTAATATTTTAAAACATGAATTTTTAAAGATTTCTTCATAACTTTTGTTCATGAACCCAGAAATATTGAAAACTGTAGCCCAACCACACCCACACTCATTAGCCAATGGAGCTGTGAGAAAAGTGGTGTTTGTTTTTATAATTCTGGATTTATTTGAAGGGAAATGGATCCCAATCTTCTTTAGTTAAGTCTTTCTTTCTTGAAGTTTATGTGACAGATCATTACTCTTCATTGTGGAGTTTTTAATTTTAATGCAAAGCCAAGCCATAAATAAATCAAATAAAAAATAAAGTCACAGTAGTAAGTTGAGTTGATATATTTATGCTGCAGATATATTTGAAGCAAACCCTGTTTCTGCTCTAACTTATAAACTTTGATTTAGGATCCTTAATTTGAAATCAGTCAACCATATTTTAAACAGCTATTTATACATTTTTCTACTATTTTGTTAACTCTTTAATTCAACTAATTATTTAATCCCCATTATGTTCAGACCTTAGTAAATAGGCAATAATAGTTTGCTTTTTATTGTTTAGTATATTCCAGGCATTATTCTAAGTCCTTTATATGTATCAACTCAATAGCCAACAGCCAAAACTCAACAGCCCTGAGGCAGGTAATATTATCATCTCCATGTTAGAGATGAAAAAATTGAAGCAAACAGATTGCTACTTGCCCAAGATAATACAATAGGTCACTGAGCTAGGATACAGACACAGGCACTACATCTCCTGACCCTGAGATTTTAATCTCTATACTAAAGTTTAGTGACTAACAAGCCAAAGTGTCTACTCAGGGAATTTACAGCCTAGTGGGGATATGAGCAACAGGTAATTTATATTTTAGTGATAAATGCATAACAGATCATTATCCCAGAAGACTAGTATAGCGTGCAAGAGATTAGACACTAAATGTTTAGTTCAGGATTTCATATACAGTGCCTGGTACTGCTTGGCACCATAAATATTTGTTGAATAATAGGGAAACACAGAGCTTGGGCAAAGCCTTAATATAATTGCTTAACCTAGATAGAGATCAAGAAAGACTTGCTGGAGTCAGTGATACTTAGATTGAGTCAGAGGTTTAAGTAGGATATGGCCAAATAAAGGGAAGAGTCTTCTAGGTTATGTGGGGATAAGGACACATATGTAATAATTTAATAAAAAATTAAATAAAAAGAGTCTTCTAGGTTGAGTGAACAGTTTGTTAAAAGACTCTAAGGCCCAGGAGAGGAAGAGAAGTAATTAAACTTCTTGGAAAAATGTAAATAAGCTCAGTATGGGTTGAAAACAGTGAGAGGATGTGATGAGATGAGGCTGAAAAGGTAATTGGAGCACCCATAATCCTATGTATTTAAAAGATATAAACTTAATCCTGAAATAATGATGTACCACTGAATGGTTTTAAGCATGGAAGTGAAAGATCAAATATATCTTGGAAAGATCATGTTGGTGCCCTAGTCAAAATACTAAGTTGGATGGTAAGTTTATATAAACACACACACAATTAGGAAGCTACTGCCATTGCTAGGCAAAAGACAGTAATGGCTTATACTAGGATGGTAGCAGTGGGGATGAAGTAGAGTAATGGATGAGCTTTTTAGAAAGTAGAATCAGTAGTAAGGGGGAGTAGTCAAAGATTAGGGGTTAAATTTATAGCTTCAGCAACTGGGATGGG